ACTATATGAAAAGTGGCCAAGAAGATGGGTCCAAATCCTGCCTAGATTAGGGCAAATTTTCTCTAAGTTAAAAGTTTTAGATACCCTTGTTCCAAAAATAATAACTTGAGATACAAGCTTCTTTTGAGAAAACTTTGTGAATCAAAGTTGTAGACTTTGTGATGGAATATAACTTTCATGTTTCAAGTTTTGTTTGAATCCGTTTTCATCTTGGTGAAAAAGTGGGACAAAGTTAGGAAAAAAATAAGAAAATTTCATAACTTAGAAAATTTCTAAGTTATGAAATTTTTCCATTTTAAACCCTAATTTACATTTTTGGGTTTCTTGATGAACAAGTTTCATAATTTGGCATGTATTGATGAAAAATGACCATTGGCATTTGATTTTGACCAAAAAGTCAAAGTTTGACTTTTCAGTGTACAGACAAATTTTGATCAGTTGACTGAAAAATTCATTTGTCAATCATATGCAATTGAGATCTTATGAACTTGTTGAATGGGTCCAGACAATGTCATTGAGTCCTTGTGTCCATAGTTGAGCTTGATTTTCCATTGGTTATGTCAAACAGTCAAAAATTGCCTTTGTACAGTCAAAACCCTAAAAATGACCATTTTGCCCTTTTGGTGATCTGATCAAATTTCTTATAGAATTGTGATCCAAACTTTATCAAATGACATATATGAGTTCATTATGTTGATGTGGGTCAGAAATCATGAGGTTTGACTGTCAATTAGCCATAGTTGACTTTTTCCCCAATACAGCTGATTTTAGGTCAACTGTCCAATTGACTGGGCAAAAATTTGAATCAAGGCTTGAAACTTGGTAGGGATAAACTTGTTAGTCCAACATGAAGCATGAAAGTCAATTTGGGCATTGTGGGTCAAAACATCCTTGTGCAAACTCAAACCCTAATTTAGGTCAACAGTGCAAGTAAGTGTCTTGAGCAGAGCAAACCCTAGCTTGATCTTCAGTTCCAAGAGTCTTGTGATGAGAAAATGTTGGTGAAATGGGAGGGAAAATTTTGGGGTACAACAAGCTGCTTGAATCTTTTAGAACAAATGAGAATATCTTATGTAAATGCCCCCTATGTTTGATAACTCCCCCTTGATCAAAGCTCTCCCTTGAATCATAGAGAATTTACATCTTTTGGGATACAATAGTTAGAGACAAGCATACACATACATACATATATGTTCTCTCCCTTTGTAATTAGAAAAAAGGATGAGAAAAGTTTTATAATACATAAATAATTTATTGAAAGTAAAAATAATTTATCCCAATGAGTTTCACCTCAAGAGTGACTTTATAAACCATTCATCTTTTGAGAACATGATGTTGAAGTCTTTGTCACAAAGTTGGATTTTACTTTAGTCTTTCCACACAAAGTACATCTTCAATTAATGTGAAAGTTAGTACTTCAACTTTGTCTATGCCAAGAATTATTCCTTTAAGGTATTCCTCATATGTTAAATAACCCTTATACTTTTGAACTAGATTTGAAAGTTAGTTTATGTCTCCCATTAAATGCTTAGAACCACCACTTATCAAAAAAATATATTTTTTAAGTGGTCCTCAAGTAAACCTACAAAACAAATTAAGTTTATTTTGGTACCTAATATTATTTAGATCCACCATAGTTAGTTCCTTTCTTAACCCACACATAATGTCCACTTGCCATGCTAAAGTTTTTAACATAGCAAGTATTAGGTGTATGGTAAACAATACCACAATAAAAGCAAGTAGATACACAATTGCTTCTATATCTAAGAGTATAATATTTCTTCTTAACAAATCTTTTCCTTTTATGATAATAATGAACCTTGTGTGCTTTATTCACTTTTTCCTTGTTAGATTGATCACTTGCCTTAACAAAGATAGTTTTACTAGTATTTGGTTTGTTAAACTTTGAATAACCAAGACTAGTTTTATCATTAAAATATCTTTGTTGACTAAGGACATTATCCAATCCAATTTGTCCTTTTTCATACGTTTCAAGAACTCTTTTCAATTGGATAGTTTGGAAAGAAAGTGATTCACACTCTTTGGATGTAAGGTTTTGTTTTTATTTTTCAAAAAAACTTTGTTTTTCAATTTGAAAATATTTTTCCATGGTGTCAATCTTTTCTTCAAGAGATGATATATGTTTCTTTTGAGTTGACATTTTTTTATAAAAAATATTACATTCAGTAAGTAGTTAATCAATTGCATTTAGATCATCATTATCATAAGAAGATATTTCATTACTAACCTCTTCTTCTTCATCATCAGAATGATGTGTTGTTATAAATGTAAGATTTATATGTTCTTCATCTGAAGATGAACTTATTTCATTATCATCACATGCTATATATGCCTTCTTTGGTATTTTGTCCTTATTTCCTTTGAAGTATTTATTCTTCTTTTGAAATGTAGGGAATTCACTTTTAACATGACCTTTCTCTCCACATTCAAAGAATTTAATTTTCCTTGGTGGTGCTTCCCCTTTAATCATATCCTTTTTCTTTTTTCTTTCTTATGAAAATTTTAATATTCTTGATAAGATCGTCATCTTCACTACTAGTGGATTCATCCTCTTGATTTCTATCATGATTTTTATCATTGTCTTTAAAGCAATATCTATTGAGTCTTTTACTTGAATTTCATGCTTTTCAAGTCTTGCAAGTTTCGTCTCATATTCTTGAAGTTTTCCGAATAAAATGGCATAAGTCATTATGGATAGATTCTTCTTCTCGGATATTGCCATCACTTTTGGTTGTCATTCCCTAGATAAAGATCTAAGAACTTTAAGATTAAGTTCATCATTATTTAAAGTCTTACCGAGTGCTTTCAAATGATTTATCAAATGCATGAATATTTTCTTCAAGTCGAGCATTGATTCCTAGAGCTGCATTTGGAATAACCTGTACTCTCAACTCAAGGTATTCAATCTCGATCATTTAACTTCAGTGGTTCCTTCATGAGTTTCTACCAATGTATCCAATATTTCTTTTGTTGTTGTGCATACTGAGATTCGGAAGAATTCATCCATGCTAAGGACACCTTGAAGAATATTGATTGCCTTCTTGTCATAGAGAACCTTTTTCTTATCTTCGTCATCCCATGAACCTTTAGGTTTTGACGTACCAACACCGTTGATAACACTTGTAGGAACAAAAGGACCATTTTGAACATCATCCCATATTTATTTTCCTTGTGCTTCTAAATGAGCCTTCGTGCAAAATTTTCAAAAATCAAAGTATTCACCATAAAATAATAGAGGCTTGTTATTGCTACCACCATCTCTAAAAACCAGATTTTGATTTGCGAAAGCCATTCTAGATCTTTAGGAACAGGTTACCTTGAACTTTCTCTGATACCAATTGTAAGTTTGGAGTGCGCTTAAGAGGGGGGTGAATTAGGACTTTAAAAATTTATCAGGTTTTAGTGATAAATGATAAAAAAAAACTTTGATTTATGGTGAGGTTATGAAAGCAATAAAGTGCATAAAAATAAATGAAACAATGATGTATCCTAGTTCCCCTCACAGTTCGAGAGTACTCCAGTGCCCTTTCAACACGAAAGAGATTTCATAATTGTTAGATCTCTAGACAAGACAACCTAGCCTTTCTATTCAAGACTCTAACCAATAAAACCACCAAGAACAATCCTCTTGTATTTTTACTAAGTACACTAAGAGAAAAATACTCTCTTAATGACTCTCTTGCTTCGAAAAATCTTGAACAGCAGCAATATACAACCAAACAAGTAGAAAAATAAAACAATCCTTTCTTGTCTACTCTCTTGTTTCCAACAATCCTGGAGAAAAAGCTACAAACCAAATCTGGAAATTATTTGAGTAATAAAGTTGATGAATATGTATCAGTCACTTAGATTGATCATCTCTTTCAAATATACAATTTTTCTCAATGGTATACAAGTGTTCAATGAATGATATGAAACTTATGATAATTTTCAATGATAATTAAGTGTAGAAAGTTTCACTAAAAATTCTGATATGAAAACACTTTGAATTTTGAAAGATGAGATGAATTTAATTTTTTTGATTTGTAGATGAAATAGATGATTTGAAATCTGAAATAATAGAGTTTATATAGCCTCTATACACCTCTACAAATGAGCATAATCTATGAAAGAATGCATGGTTTAATCTCAAAAGGTACAAAACATTTCAAATGAAAAGCTACAACATTTTTTCCTCTGTTCTGTGTGTACTTAGTTACACCCTTCAATGTTAACAAAAGAATTCAAAATCAGTCTGCTTCAGACCGGTGCAAATTAGGGTGGATCTTACGCTGTTACGACAGGTCAAACTGCCTTAATTTACCAAAAACAAAATGTTTGAAAATTTGGAAAATTTGAAAATTTGTCTAATTATTTGAGCCAACCTTATGCAACATCTATTGATTTATCCAAATAAATATATTATATTTGAAAGTGATTTAACATGGTTCAAACATAAAAAAGAAATTTTCAAATGTATGATAATAAATATTTTTTTTAAAGCTAGAAATAGTGAGATATTTTCAACCAAATGAATCATGCATGCAAGTGAATTTTGGAGATTATTTTGAGCACTGTTTTATCAATATATATTGCATGCTTATACCTCAAAAAATAAGGATCAATGTTATTCTTCATAATGTCTTCATCAAAACATAATGTTGAAGAAGCTTGACTTGACAGGTCAAAGCAAGAAGTATTTTGATAGAGTCGCCTCGGCTGAGGCTAAATAGGACTGGATTAATATTGTCATCTGGAGTAGTCCTACTAAAAAGTTGAAGCAGTAGAGTTTTACCCCTACTATCCACTTACTTAGAAGTGTGGGGATCATTCCTCTCCCCTTACCCCCTGTTCTCGTCGGTCGGTTTCCTCAGACTACGACAAAGATAAAGAATTGTGTGTCTTCCAAGGATTATGCATATGTCCACCAACTCTCCAAAATCAACAAGTTTAGCTTTCTAGTTGAGTCGGCCTTCTAGCTGTTGCGAGAGGCTTTGTTCATGACCTATTTTGCAGTTGGTCATGAGGAACTCTTAGTCTCCGAAGCTTCTTCTCAAGAGGTCAAGGATTCGAAGGCTCACTATACTCTCACTAATGAAAAAGTTTCCAGCTTTGAGAGGGATCGCTCAAGGCTACACATTCATTTGGATCAAGTGTCCCCTTTCTTGGAGAAAGTGGATCTGAATGAATCTCCTACAACTTTGGTCGGCCACATATTGAAACAATCTTGCTTGAAGAGGATAAGCTTAGTTCTCATTAGATGGAAATCATGTTGGAGACTTCATCTTCTAGTGCTCAGGCAGTCACGACATATCTTAAGGAGAACAAGACGAGTCAACCTAAGAAGCTGAAGGCTCTTCAAGAGGAGTGGGCCATTTTAAACAACTATTTGTTGGATCTCTCTAATTATGTTCTGAAATAAGATGCCTTCCACAACATCTTGAGCCAGATGGAGTCCCTCGTACCTTCCCTCTAGGTTTTCTATGACTCCTTCAATTTTGTATGATCATAACTTGTTGTAATTTGTTGTTTAGTGCATTAAATGTTACTTACTACAATGTTTAGTTGTTGTGTTTGCTTGTTGTACTTAGCATTCATTGTCTAAGTGTTTGATTATTTGTTGTATTTATCATTCACATGTTCAATGTGTGTTCTTTTGCTATATTTAGCATTCACTATTTCATTATGTTGTTTGTGTACCCTGTTGTAGGGCTTGGACCTGGAAAAACATGGTCATATCTTAACATTACGCTCCATGTTATACAGGATTGTTCACCGGCCAAAGGTAAGATCCTCCTCCCTGCCCTGAAGTTTGACTCAGATCGAGGTGGACGTCTTCGGACTCCATTGCAAAACACACTTGGATTGGCTAGATCTGAAAGGGGTGCGCCAACTATGCAGAATTGTGTGTAATCTTTATCTTTCCCACCTTTAGAATCCTCAAAGAGAGAAGATATGGAAAAGTGAGTAGCATAAAATATAACAGAAAAGTATTTTCATTCATATTTATGTCAATTTGTTACACTAAAAAGTTGGATCAAGAAGATAAATAGATCTTTTAACTGTAATAGCACTTCAGTTTTGCGATGTTCCAAGTCCCTGGTACCTCTTCCCTTTTCAGGGACTCCAATATGTATGTTCCTTCCTCGGTGCTGGCCCACACCCGATAGGATCCTTCCAAATTCGATGCTAGATTTCCATCCTGGGCATTTTTCCCTCCTATGCCGCCTCTTTGCAACATCAGGTCCTCTGCTTGGAACTCTATTGGTTGAACACGATGATTGTACTTGGTGGTAGTGGTTTCATTGACGACAACATTGGTGAAGATGAAATTCATATTTTTTATTCTAAAAGGTTGATCTCTTCTTGGATGGCTCTTCCGTTACCTTTCATTAGTAAATGGTTGGCTATCCTCCAACTCAGCTCTTTAATTTCCACTAGAATGACACCTTCAATGTTGTGTGTGAGCCGGAAAATGGTTTCTCCTATAGTTGATTGAGAAGTAGTACGGTAAGCCCACAGGACGTGTAGTAGTTCATCAGTTGAGTTACCTTTAACATCATTCAGTCTTCATTTTAGGCCTCTAACCATCACCTGATTAGTTGCTTCGACTTGACCATTCGTTTAGAGATGTTCAACTGACATAACATGTTGTTTGATCATTAACTCCTCCAACAAACGTTTCAAGCTTTTATCTATGAATTAAGTTCCATTACCCATTACAATGACTTGGAGAACCCCAAGCCTAGCAAGTGTGTTTCTCTTGAAAAACATTAGTGTATTTGTTGTTATGGTCTTCGCCAGTGCTTCAGCCTTGATCCACTTAGTAGAATAGTCCACATCTACGATTAAGTATCTGAGTTGTTTTCACATTAGGGCAAATGGGATAAGGATGTCCAGTCCCCACTACAAGAACGACTATGGTGACGTCAGAACTTACACCTCTGTGGATGAAGATTAAAAAACATCCCTGTGTTGTTGGTATTGGTCTCACTTTTTCACGTATTCCTAGGAGTCCTGGACCATGGTCGGCTAGAAGTAACATTCTCTCATGATTTTCTTGGCTAATATTGTATCCCCCAAAGCTACTCAACGATGCCTTCGTGTACTTCTAGAAGGGAGTAGTTGACTTCCTCTTTCCCTAAGCATTTCAGCAAGGGCATAGATAGGCCTCTTTTATACAAAGTTCCTCCGACCAGCGTATATTCAGTTGCCCTTATTTTTAATAAGTTCGCTTTGAATGGATCTGATGTAAGAATCATTACTACAAAATGCACAAACAACAATGCCAAAGTCACCACGGTTTGCCCCAAAATCGTAGTGACATTGCTAAACTAATGTGCTAACATTTTATTTTCATTTTTTAATTGAAAATTTAAGTTTATAGTTACAGTTAATTCCCTAACCGTGGTGACACGGTCCAACTTTCCTAGGTTCGATCCTCATGTCCCTTGAATAGTTTATCCCTTTTACTTTAATGCACGCCTTTTCGATTACATTTATATATAATAAAAAATAATAGGTATATCACTACGGCTCTTTTGAACAACCGTTGTTACACACTGGAGATTCTTTGTATATATTAAACACTAAGTACCCATTCTTCCACTAATAAAAGGAACAAACCCTAACACCAGCACCGTCGGGAAGAAGAAAATAACCATAACACTCATTTTTGTTATCCATAATCGTCTCAATGTCTCATTCCAAGGGTGTAAAATCTCGATCTGGAAATTTTTGTACTTGTGACTGTCATATGGTTTCGTTCCTATGCAAGAGGGGTCAAAATAAAGGAAGGATTTTTTGGAGATGTCCTAATTGGTGGACTGGTGAAACATGTAATTTGTTCATATGGGATGATGAACAAAAATTGGAAGATGAGAGTACTATGATGCCAAATTTGGATTCTGTTGGGTATTTGAAGGTTATGTATATAGATTCAAAAAAGAAGAACAAGAATTTGAAGAACAAACTGAAGTCATTGAGGTTTTCTGGAAATTTGAAGATGTTATGTTTTCTTATCTCCTTTTTATTTAATATTTACTTTGTTATAAAATGTAATAGTTGAATTAGGGTTTGAAATTTGAAAATGTTATGTTATCTTATATCCTTTATGTTTAATTTTTTTGTACTTTATTATGAAATGTAAGATTCGAAGATGCAGTGGACTAGATAGGAGTATGCAACTAACTAACCATTTCTTAAGAGTATGTTCATCGCAATAATTTTAAGTTACAATAATGTGTTTTTTATATTTTGAAGTTTAAGCTGATAGGTTAAGTTGATAGTTTAAGTTAAATGTTTAAGTTGATAACCTTAAGAGAGTTAAGTAGAAATATTAAAACTTCATTACATAAACTTTCATTACATAATCAAAAACCATAATCAAATCTAAATCCTCTCGCTGAGATAAAGTTAGACCAATCATAGTCAGCCTCATCATCATCATAATAGAAAAGAAAATCATCATTTGCCTTCTCAACCTTCTTCTTCTTCTTCTCCTCACACTGAGAGCTCTCATTAGTCTAAACACAACACCCTCTACATCAACATCTTGAATCTGAGGATGGTTTTGCACCACAACACCGGCCTCTACAGCAACATCTTGATTCTGAGGCTGGTTTGGCACCACAGCACCCTCTACAACAACATTTGAATTCTCAACATTGTTGGTGGCTTGAGCAGGATAACACATGTTGATTCCTTTGGATGGAGTTGTTTTTGTGTCTTGGTCCTTCTGATTCTTCATCTTCTTATCTTGGAAGTTTAAAAACCAAAGCTACTTATCATTGTTTCTTTAATTCTATACGCTTTCTTTTCTCTTGGAAGTTGGAAAGATTTCATTTCTCGAGTTGTTCAAATTTTATTATTTACTTAATGGAATTATGTACTTGTAATTAATATAAGTTTTGATATCAATTAAAAATTGGTTTAGTGCTGATTCTGATATGAAAATTTGACATTTATTCAAATGATATATCACAACGACTATTATTAATAATTGTTTTTATAAGGCGCGCGCTTTCCAGATTACTACGAAGGTCATTGGGCCGTGATTGTAAGTACCACATATACAACCACACTCTACATAACAACGCCTAGTACCACGTAGTTATATATTTTTCCCAACCGTTGTTAAATGCCTTTCCGTAGTAGTGAATTCCTAGCTCAATATAATTTTGTATCTAGGTCATGCAAGAAGGTGGGGAAATATTATCCACGGCTGCCACTATCATCCCTAAGAACTCAACGATTGGTGCTTTCCTTGTTTCTTAGACAAAAGAATGATTAATCCTCGGGATCCTTGTGTTGGAAAACCGAGATAACATGTTGGCACAAGTATTTTCTTCTCATGGAATATGAGCAATTTCGAATGCCTTCAATCTTGCCAGCTTTTCGGTAGCTAGTTTAAGGTGTTGTTGCAATAACAGCTATGAAGTTTCCACCAAAAGTTACCGAATTAGTACTAGGGGTGTAGCCAGGGTTTTCTTCAGAGTCTCAAATATGACTTCACAGTCAGTTGTCCACCCAAAATTTTCCTTCTTTCTCAATAATTTGTAAAAAGACAAAGCATGTTGGGCGGATTTTAAAATGAATATGTTCAAGGCAGTCAACATATCGTTCAACTTTTAGACCTCCTTCTTCGATGTTGGTGCGCTCATTCTTACCACTGCCTCTCACTTATCAAGGCTCTCTTTGATTCCTCGCTCGATTAAATAGAAGATTAAGAACTTGTCGGCTCTTAGCAAGAAGGTGCACTTCTCCATATTGAGCCTCACATTATATTGTTGAACCCATTTGAACACCCACTAGAGGTGTTGAGTGTAAAGCTCTTCCTGACTAGATTTTACAATCAAGTCGTCCATGTACACCTCCAGCATCTCCTATATCTCCTCTTAAAATATCTTGTTCATCATCCTCTGATATGTCACATAAGCATTATTCAACCTGAAGGTTATGACGTTGTATTGGTAGTTGGTGTGCTTTAACATTAATGATATTTTTAGTGGTCCTGCCTGAACATAGGTATCAGATTGTACCTAGAGTATGCATCCATGAAGGATAGCAATTGCTACCTGGTTGAATTATCTATGAGTTTATCAATGTTCGAGAGTGAGTAATAATCTTTTGGACAAGCTATATTTAGATTTTTGTAATCTACACACAATATCCATTTTGCCAAGGCCTTCTTCGACATAACGAAGTTGGACAACCATTTTGTATACTTTGCCTCATAAATGAATATGGTGTCCAAAAGGCCTTTCACTCTGCTTACGGTAGCTTCATATTTTTCTGGGGACTGCCTCCTCCGCTGCTGGAAGACATAGCGGGCAATGACATCTATATTCAACTGATGGCATGCCATGCTGAGGTCGATGTCATGCATCTCATGTGGATAGATAGCGAAAAGGTCATCATTTTCCCGGAGACATTTAATTAGGGTGGACCTTACTTTCAGGAGAAGCCTGAATCCTATCTTTATCAATCGGGCAGGGTTATCACTGAGTTGGATAGACTCAAACTCACCATCCAGAGTGGGAATAACTTCATCCTCCCGCGCATCCAGATCAAACATATTAGTATCCCCCATTTTTTCTTTTGCTCTTAATTACAACGCGAAAATGTCCTTCTAGACGAGCTCTTTGATATGCTTTGTCTCCTCCAAGTCAATGCTAACAGTGGTCAATCCTCATTCTCTATCATGATAGACTACTTTCAAGTGGATCAGATAAGCTACAGTTTCTAGCTTTGCTAAGAAGGATCTCTCCAAGGGTGAATTGTCAATGTCAAATCAATAATTCCCCAAGGGTGAATTTTCGAATCGTTGAAGGACAATAGATATCCCATGCAATACAGACTCAGATTTGACTATTGAAGACCTAACAGTTCCAATGTGTCAACGTAGAGGATGT